ATAAACAACAGTACATATGCTACAGGTTTTTAAATCAAGAATAAAAAATTACCTATCGTTGCTATATTACCTATTTTTATCATCAAATCTGTTGCTCAGATTAACATATATAGTTAAGCAAGATTGGATGAAAAATTGAATAATAATGCTTGTTTTCAGTAAACTCTAAGTATTTTTCTTGTCTTTTTTACTTTTTTATTATTTTTTGTAAATTTATTTTAAGACAATATAATAATAATTGATAAGAAATTTATAACCATACATATGTAGAAGACCAAGATGAGAAGTATTCAGCCATGGTTTTTATATTTCACATCATCGTGTCTTGTTTTATTTATTTCCATCTCTTCTCTAGTGTCTTGTTTAGTCCACTAAGTTTGTCAATGTTATTTACCTTTAAAAAAAAAACTAACTTGTTTCTTTGGTTAGTATTTTTAGTCTCTGTTTCATTTATTTTTTCCTCTGAACTTTGTTATCTTTCCTTATACTGATTTTGAGTTTGGTTTGTTCTTGCTTTTCTAGTTGCTTTGATCACACCATTTACTTGTTTATTTGACATCTTTCTGTTTCTTCAATATTGGTACTTATTGCTATAAAATTCCTTTTAAGACTCTTTTGTAGATGATTGGTTTAGTTCTATTTATTGTGTTTTCTCATTGGTTTCAAGAAACTTTCAAAGTTTCGTTTCATTTTTTTCATTGGCTCATTGTTCAAAAAATGTTTCATTTTATGTATTTGTACAGTTTCTAGTGTTTCTCTTATGAGTTTCTCATATCATACCATTGTCATCAAAGTGGATGCATGCTATGATTTCATTTTTTTTTTTGATTTGTTGAAACTTGTATGAGGCCCAAAATATGGTCTGTCCTAGAAAATATTCATTTTCTAATGACACGAGTGTATATCTGCAGCTATCTGATGAAATGTTTGTAAATATCTGCTGGATCTGTTTGTTCTATGGTATAACTTAGTTATGATTTCTGTTTGTACTTTTGTTTAAATAATATACTTATTAACAAAAATGGATTGTTGAGTACCCAGATATTACTATATTGTACCTTTGAGACCTAATAATATTTGCTTGGTATAAATTAAGTGCTCCAGTGTAGGATTTCTATTTACAATTATTTCCTCTGGTTGAATGATCCCTTTATTATTGTATGGTAACCTTCTTTGCCTCTTCTCATGATTTTTGATTTAATGTCTATTTTATTTCATAAAAAGTTAGCTACTGCTACTCAATTCTAGTTTCTCTGCATGGTATATCCTTTTATGTACTTTCAAGTCTATATATCTTACTGGAACAGTGAGTTTCTTATAAATAGTATATATTCAGTCTTGATTTTTGTTTTTTAATCTATTTATCCAGTCTCTATCATTTACTTTGGAATCCAACCTGTTCACACTCAAGGTATTACTGATAAGACATATTCCTATCATTTTTTAACTTTTTCTTGTCATTTCTTTTATTCTTTTCTTCCACTTTTGTCATCTTAATGGTTTGGTGATTTTCTGCATCAATAAAGTTTTAGTCTCTTTCTGTTTTGTGTATCTGCTCTTCTAATAAGCTTTACATTTTCATGATAGAAATTATCATACTTTCACTTCTAGTGCAAGATTCCTTGGAACATTTCTTGTATGTAAAGTTTGGTAATGGTGAGTTACTTCTGGTTTTCTGTGTTAAAATAACTTTTTTCTCCTTCATTTTTTAAAGATGGCTTTGCTGGGTGTACTATTCTTGGTGGGCAAGGATTTTCTTTTAGGACTTTGAATATGTTATCCCACTCTTTTCTAGGTGAATGGCTGCTGCTGAGAAGTCTGTTCTTGGTCTAACAAGCATGCCATTATATGTGACTTGGTGCTTTCTTCTTCCTCCTTTTAAAATTCTCTTTGCCTGGTACATTCAACAGTTTGACTATAATATACATTAGAGATGGTATTTTTGAGGATCATTTTTGGATACTTTGAACTTCCTGAAACTGGTATCCTTATCTTTTCCAAATTTTGGAAAGTTTTCACTTATTTGTTGTTGTTAAATAGGTTTCAAAGTGTTCCCTTCTCTTCTTTCTCTGGAATGCACATAATATGAAAGTTTTTTCAGTTAATATTTTGATCCCTTAATGATGTCCTATAAATTCTGTAGGATTTTGTCTCTCTGGGTTATTTTAGAAGACCTGTTATCCAACTCAGAATCTCTCTCATCCAATCTATAGCTGAAGCTCTCAGCTTTATTTTTAGTTTCATTTATTGAGTTCTTTAGCCCCCAAATTTTGGGTTATTTCCTATATGATATTTCTCTTTTCTGAATTTCTAATTTACAACATGAATTGTCTTCACGATTTTGTTGAACGGTTTGCATTTCCTTGTATTTCATTAACTGTTCTTCAATGTCATTATTTGGAATTACTAGTCAGGAAGTTTATTGATTTCCTTTTCATTAGGAGTTCTTTGCTACAAAGCTATTGTGATCCTTTGGAGACATCCAGTTGCCTCATTTTCTCATGCTTCTTATGTGTTCCTACCTTGATATTTTTGTATCTGGCAGAGCAGTCATCCCTACCAATTTTACAGAGTGATTTTCATAGTAAAAGACTTTCACTTTGGTATAAATAAAATCAGCTATGTAGGTTCTCATTTCATGTAGTGTCCATGCAGCCTCTTTAGCTATCACCCGTGGTGTGATGTCTGTGAGAGCCTTAGTGGCTTAGAATGCAGTATTTGTGAGACTATACCACCACCTGGGATGTACCTTTCTTTCTTAGGTGGGACAGGTTTCCTGGTGGTTCTGGATGCAGTGTCCCCACCTGTGGATGTGGAAAAACTGTCACATTCTGTGGGTCACATGGAGGCAGAGAAACTCTGGCAGGCCTGTACGGTTATAATGTGGCTGGTGCAGCCCATCATCTGTGTCTGAGGATGAGGGCTACGGAAGTGGATCAGGTAGGTATGGTGCAGCAAGTTGACATCACATTGGAGCAGCTGACAGTGTCTGAGGACTACATTGGTGCAGTGGGCCCACATAGGGGATCCAGTGGTGTCTAAGGCTTTTACGGTAACTGTGGAGACCCCAGGAGTTCATTTGCTTGGGCTGGAGTGCCTCATTGTGTCTCTGGATGGAGGATTGGTGTGCAGAGTTAACAATCTGCTTTCCAGGGCCTCAGTAGGCAGAGATTCTGAGAACTGGCTTCCTAGCTGCATCTGAGGGCCAGAGAAGGGTGAGCAGAACCCCTTTGTTCCTTCTATCTGAGCCGCTCAGCATAGGCTCATGGATTACTTTCCAGAACCATGTGTGGGGCTGCACTGGGGCTGTCAGTGCCAAAAACTTGGCTAACTGAATGGCTGCTACCCAGGGCTAAGGACAGGTCAACAAAGACATAAGGCTGGCTTCTAAGCCTGGATTGACCAAGATGTAAGATTTGTTTTTAATATCAAATCT